GTCTTATCCTTTCTAAGCCTCAGGTTGCTCCTCACCTGTGAACTGGGATGATAATGCTACCTCCCCCAGTGGGTGGTTACAAGACGCAAATGAAATGAACTATCTAAAGCACCGAGCCCAGTGCTTGGCACAGAATAAACAGTGAATATTAGTGTATCTTCACTTCTTGAATTTTCTCTCCCTAAGTTAGTATAGAGTTGAGTTTCTTCCCACAGTGCTTTTGTGCTAAAATCATCTGTGTTGTTCCAGAACAGTCCAGGCTGTGCTGAACATATGAATTCAGATATCGGTCCATTGCAGAGCAGTCAAGATCCCCTACATTGGGCAGAGCCCACACGGTGCCACCTATTAGCTGTTCTTAGTGTCTGAAAATATGCCGAAGTAAAATAAAGAAGAAATCCTGCAATTGTTTTTAAGCTTATATATCACTTAGATCACGCTGACTGCGTACTTTACAAATATTAACTCATTTAATCCCCATGCGATTCCATCAAGTAAATTGAGGAAACTGAGGCACTTAAGTCATTTCCTGAGGTCACAAAGCTAGTGCAAGAATTGAGGAAATTTTACATATGAGGAAACTGAGGCACTTAAGTCATTTCCTGAGGTCACAAAGCTAGTGTAAGAATTGGAGCCAGGATGTAACCAGACATACCGACTCCAGAGCAAGGGCTGTTAACTATTATGCTGTGAGTGCTCATGAAACACACACACACACACACATGGGCTTCTTCTTCCAGCTTCTTTACATTCACTTCCCTGGAAAATACACGATGGTCAGAGCTCTGTTGACGTTGCCTAGCGTAGTCGTATCCGGGATGATGGAGACTGATGTAGCCAGGAAAGGAGAGGATCGGATGTTTAATGAGGAGGAGCCTCTGCTAACAGTGAGCTGTTTTCTGGGAGGCAGAGAGGGTAAGGCAAGACTTGGCATCTCTAAAGAGTTCTGACCACGCTCCTTATCTCCATGCTCAGATGGAGAAGCCGTCCAACATGAGACAGCAAGGAAGTCATCAATGCCAGCTCCCAGAGGAAAGAGGAAAAGAGGAAAAAGGAGATTTTCAGAAGCCGGTTATGTTAAGCATGGTAACCGAGGAGCCTAAAGTGACAGAGGAAAAAAGATAAGAGACTCCTGCCCTGGGGCGAGGCACTCGGTTGCCACATCTGGCCTGCAGGGCGTTGCAGAATGTCTGTGCACAGCGAGATGGGGAAGCAGATACTCCGCTCGTCCTTGTCCGGTGGGCAGCATCGAAGTGCTTGCTGTGCTCCAGGTCCTGAGCCAGTTACGGTGATGCCCCCTCACTTCCTGCCCTGTGGTCTGCTGTCTATCGGGGAGGGGGCGACCGTGAGACAACGAATAGTCACCATCGTATGGAAGCACAGAGCTGGTTCCACCCAGCAGACCCTGGATGACCTTCAGCGTTCATAGACAGATGCCACGTGTGCCCGAAGTGCGAGAGGGTTACCAGGAGCTCGCTGCAGGCGTCTGGGCAGGGCTGAGGGCGATGCTGGTGGGGAAGGAGAGAAACCCTCTCGGGGGTCACCAGGAGAAGACTGGAGGATGAACGCTTGTAGGAGAGAAGCAGAGGAGACATCAAAGGTGGCCCCAAGCAGCTTGGGACATAGGGACGCTACTGACTGAGGCAGGAAGTGGGGCAGAGGAGGAGGAGGGAGCCTGGGGAGGCGGCACAGAGACAGGGTCAATGCGGAGAAGGGCCGCCCCTCCCAGGATGTGGGGAGTCATTCTCTCTGGGATCCCCCCGCTGCTAGTAAGTACTTTCTGTGGACTGATGAAATCATGTGCCTTGGAAATAAAATAGGGGCCAAACGTAAATTTCTGTGGTGGCAGCAGGTGGGGAAGAGACCGGGGTCATCGGGCCCCGAGGCGGAGGACCGCCGGGCGCCTCTCAGACCTACTGCTTGTGCCTTTGCTTTCAGCAGCAGCTCGCGGACGTGTGGGCTGACAGCAGGTGTCCGCCCCTCTGTCTACCCCGCCCCTGGAGCGACGCTGGGGAGACACAAAAATACCTCGGGAACTTTCTCAGGATGGCTTGTTTCTCATTACCTCGTCACCAGGAAGAGACGATGGCTCTCTCCATCACGCCCGGCCTTCTCCGGCAGGTAAACTCGGCTCGCCCTCAGGTTGCTGTGGGCGCAGGTGGCATCAGAGGCACTGCTGATTAATAACAATAATTAGGGGTGGGTTCGTTTCTTAGTTAAATTTTAGGCCCGGGTAGGACACCACGCGAGTTAATAATATCCTCTTGTTAACAGAAAATCGTACTTTAACAAAGAAATTTTCTAAACCTTGTGATAAATTGTGTCAACCTATTTAAAAGGACCCTAAATTGCTTTATCAAATCTATCACGGCGTTGCCGGCCGGGGGTGCGCAGGTGCAGATGACGGATAAAGAGAGTCTGTGAGGTGAGAGAGGAGACGTGCAGCAGCTGCCTGCACGGGGCTTCTGTGCCGTCTGCTCTCGGAGCTTCTGTTTTAAAACGAGCTGTCTGTTTTTATGAGGGAATTCCACCAGGGAAAGTGTGTTTGCTAAGACGCTCATTCCGATGACATGGAATAATAAAAGATGCACACATCGTTCCCCATCCCCTACCTGGGAGAAGGGATGGGAAGGGAGTCGGGGAAAGGAAGCAGGTTATTCTAGAGGTTTGAAGAGCAGCTAATAACTATGTTTTCTTTCTTTCTCTTTAAAAAGAATGAGAAATATACATCTTTTAAAAACTCTTGACCCAATAGTCAAGGAAAATTGTGGGCAGAAATATTGCATTAATCCTGTACTTCAGGGAACCACTGGAGATGTTGACAGTAGTTTTATAAGAATCTAGAAAAGAAAATGTTAATGTCAAAAGGATTTAAAAAGGTTTTTATGGAAACTGATTTTTTGCAGTGTAATGATACAAAGCTAACCTCTTACAGAGGGGTTATATGTAGTCCTGTAGAAAGGTCGTCTAATTTAAAATCCCGAAGTTTGGATTTTAAAGCTTGTGCCTTATTTAAAAATTATAATTAGGAAGTTTGAGTAAAAACCAGACAATAAATACAAGTTCGAGGTATTATTGCTCTAACTTAAGACAACAAAGATTAATTTATGTATCTGTTCATTCCAATAAGTATTTATATTACAGACGAGACAGAGATTTTAAAAAACAGATTTTTCTTCTGTATGACACCTCTTCTCCATTCTCTCTATCATTATAGTCTGTAAATTCCTTTTTAAAAAATATGATAGTACTGTGTATGGCTGTTAAAAAAATGTAATAGCACTGTATACAGCTATACGTCTCTATGCATTGACATTCAAATATATGTATTTCATATGTACAGAAATAGATGAAGTATATGACACATTCGATGAGTATTTACTATAATTGTTACAGGATATACTAGTACTTTGTTTTTCTTTCTTTTGGGATATATTGGACTAAGAAGAAATTGGCATGTCAATATCTGAGCTCAAGGCCAGATTTTAGCTCATTTAATACCCCCGATTTGAAGCTGAAACCCCCAAATTATATGTGATCACCAAACTATAACTTTTCGAGGAGCTATGTGACAGTTAATATTCAGCTCCACCCCGGGACCTAAGTGGATTTCATAGCTCTACTTACTGAGGAGAAAGCTGCTAGTTCTAACATCCCGGCAGAAGTCAATTCTCCACGGAATTCAATTTCAAAAAAAAATCTCTTCCCTCCCCAAGTCCTGTCTACACACCAGATGGCTCCCCGCCAACGACTTCCCAACGCCAAATGTGGCTTCCGTTGTCTTTGTCAGCAGGCAGAGTTTTTCCTCCCTTTCTACCCACTCAGAACGGTGACATCCAAACCCCAAACCTCAATACTTTCAATACCAATAAGCAGCAGCACTTAGAGCACAGAGAGTTCTGGAGCCTGGAGAGTGGGAACGATGGAACGTAATGAATAAGGTTGGGCGGAAGTAAAAGGGGTCCAGGAAGAGTCGAAACGGAGAAGCTGTGAGAAGATATGATAGTACTGTGTATGGCTGTTAAAAAAATGTAATAGCACTGTATACAGCTATACGTCTCTATGCATTGACATTCAAATATATGTATTTCATATGTACAGAAATAGATGAAGTATATGACACATTCGATGAGTATTTACTATAATTGTTACAGGATATACTAGTACTTTGTTTTTCTTTCTTTTGGGATATATTGGACTAAGAAGAAATTGGCATGTCAATATCTGAGCTCAAGGCCAGATTTTAGCTCATTTAATATTTCCGATTTGAAGCTGAAACCCCCAAATTATATGTGATCACCAAACTATAACTTTTCGAGGAGCTATGTGACAGTTAATATTCAGCTCCACCCCGGGACCTAAGTGGATTTCATAGCTCTACTTACTGAGGAGCTAGTTCTAACATCCCGGCAGAAGTCAATTCTCCACGGAATTCAATTTCAAAAAAAAATCTCTTCCCTCCCCAAGTCCTGTCTACACACCAGATGGCTCCCCGCCAACGACTTCCCAACGCCAAATGTGGCTTCCGTTGTCTTTGTCAGCAGGCAGAGTTTTTCCTCCCTTTCTACCCACTCAGAACGGTGACATCCAAACCCCAAACCTCAATACTTTCAATACCAATAAGCAGCAGCACTTATAGCACAGAGAGTTCTGGAGCCTGGAGAGTGGGAACGATGGAACGTAATGAATAAGGTTGGGCGGAAGTAAAAGGGGTCCAGGAAGAGTCGAAACGGAGAAGCTGTGAGAAGTCCAAGAACAAGGTTAATGGGATGAGGGAGTCGAAGAAGTGGAACCTGGGGCCGTAAAGAGAAATTTGGGAGAAAAAAGACTGCTCATATTTTGTAAGTTTTGCGTTTCACAGAAAGTTTATGGGCTCGGCAAACATATTTCCTATGCTGAGGGCTCCAGCAAAAATAAATGCTAGCTGTATAACCACTGGCAAGTAAGAATTGACTGGACATCTTTACGATATATAGCATTATGATAGGTACTTTATTTTGATTCATAAGATATTAATTGTTTACATTTTTGGATACGTTAATCAGACGATCTTTATAAATTATGAAAAATGAAACAAACTGAAAACATCAGTTTTATCCACTTAGAACAATGAATGTCGCAGGCAATTTTTTTAAAGATGTGTCTTTTGAGGGTGAAGTCCAAGCTTAAGCCTTTCACTGCATCTTGGAGGATGTCTGCCTGTGGGTTACGCAGGAGCCAGACGAGTGCTTCGGCGGCCTGGGCTGCTCCACTCAAAACTCACTCACCCATGTAAGAGTGACATGCTTCCCAGGGAACACCGAGGACCTCTGCCTCTTCTTTGGAGATGCCTGGAGATGCTTTCCAGCTCAGCGTGGGCAGTGACAGTGCTGGCCCTGGCCAAGAGGGAGTCTCTGTGGGATTAAGAAAGGGTTTTAGATCTGGCATCTCGAGCGATCTTCTAAACAAACACAGACCTGTTATCACTGAGCAGTCATCCTACCAGGCAGCCTTTTGTTTATCGGTATTTCTTCAAGATATATAGGGCGGACTCTAGTAACGGGTCAGTGGGAATGACAATGGTCAAATGAATGCAAGAGAAAGATCACTCGTGTGCTCCAGTGTGTTCCCCACAACTCTACCTGTCAGTCAGACACCATACACACCTGCAAGTGACCTGAAGGTGGATCCAATGGAGGGTAGACCCAGAGTCTCAGGTTAAACTCAGCTCTTTGGACTTGTAATCAGGCCTACCGCCTTCTCTCTTTCAGAGTTTGAAGAATGCGGGGAAGCAAATCGTGCGAGCTCCTGAGAGGCGGCCACAAGACCCGTTTGTATTTGGCCAGGTGTCCTTCCGACAGGAGAGCTTTCCTGAGAAAGGCTATCCCCTAGAAATCTCGACTTCCCCCGACCCCCTGGCCGAGTCGCCCGCCGGAGTCAGCGCTGTCTTTGCTAGCTTTCACTCGATCCTGGATGCCAGGAGGAAGGCTGCGTGAGCTTAGTGGCGTGAAGTAGTAGAGAAGCACTCAGTGGAAGCAGCCGTGGCTGGAATCCTCGCTCTCGCCCACAGAGAGGCTGTACGGCTGCATTTGAGCTCCGTGGAGATAGGTATTAAACACAGTCACTCTGGGCTGATATTGCCATCGTGTACGTGTCTAACGTCATTTCTGTAGCCCGTGGAGCCCAGGCTGAGGCAGAGAGCTTACACGGCAGGAAGATTCTCTTCCTTCAGGTGCTTGGAAAGAGAGAAAATAGTCAAAAGCCACAATTTTAGAAAAGAATCTTCCAAAAACGAGAAAGGGGTTTTAAGGAAACGCTTTTTCAGGTGGATCTCAGGGAAGGGTGACTTGTTTGTTCTCGCCATCGGCTCTGTGTCCTGCTACCAGGAAGCCCAGCAAAATACTCCACAGAACGGGAAAGATTTTGGAAACAGAACTCAACCCCACGGACGTCAGTAGCTTCTATGTGCCAGAGAATGTACTGAGTGCCTGGGGATACCAAGATGGACTGGACACGATCCCTTCCCTTACTGAGCTTCGATCTGGGTAATTTTTAAATGAAGATTCTGCATGAGAATACGACAAAATGGTGATATCTAGCTACTATTATTTTGAACTTTTTAGAAAATAATAGGGTATTATCGCCGAATACTTTTGATGGGTGCGAAGGGACCGGATGGTGAAGGAAGTGGGTCTGCCTTTTTAAACCTTGACACTGTCCTTGTCTTTGCCCCAGGTGAAAATTTCAGTTTATCTTTGGGAGCCGCTTTGCTTTAATTGGGCCTGTGGTTATTCTCCAGGGAGGCCGGTCCTGCTCCGCAGTGAAGATGACCCAGCGTAACTTTCTGATTATTCCCCACGTCCCTGGCTCTTCTGTTTCCTTTGCTGATTCAACCCCACCTTTCGAGGGGTCTGTCTCTTCTTATTCTACAGTCTTGACCTTGGGCATTTCACCCATGCCCAGGGCTTGTGCATTCTTTCTATATCCCAGTTATTTCTCAGTCTATATCTTCAGGTCCAATCTCTGTTCCGATACTAAGTTCACACATTCTCCCCATACTCTTCCAAAACGAATCCTCTAGTCTATCCTGGCTAGACTGGTGCTTAAAACCTTTTCAGAGGGTTCTCGTTGTTCTAAAGATAAAATCCAAAATTCTTAACATGCCAACGACAGCATGCACGGCTGGCTCTCATTTGCTTCTTGGGCTCATCTCTTGTCACTCTGTCCCTACTCCTTGTCCTTTTGGAAGCGGCCCAGCTCTCTCCCACATCGGACCCTCAAATTGACCATTCCCCTTACCTGGAATGACCCAACTCGGTCATCCTTCAGAGCCCAGCTCAAACGCTGCTTTCTCCAAGGGGCCCTCACTAGTTCCCGAGAGCGGTGTTAGCTCTCATTAGCATACTCTCTGCATCTTTAGCAGAGACATCAAAAGGCACTACAGTCACGTGCCACTTTATGATGGGGATACGCTCTCAGAAACGCGTCGTTAGGCAATGTTGTTGTGCGGGTATCATAGAGGTACTTACACACACCTCGATGGTATAGCGCCTACTACGCACCTGGGCTGCGTAGTATAGCCTGTGGCTCCTGGGCTACATACCTGGCCAGCATGTTACTGTGCTGAATCCTATAGGCAATTGTAACACAATGGTATTTGTGTGTCTAAACATATTTAAACATAGAAAAGGTACAGGAAAAATACAGTATAAAAGATAAAAATGTACACCTGTATAGGGCACTTACCATCAATAGAGCTTGCAGGATTGGAAATTGCATAAACCAGTAACATAGTCATTTATTATGATTAAATGCTGAGGACTGCACGCACTCATATGTGCTGTACTTTTATATGACAGGCAGCACAGCCGGGTTGGTCAACACCAGCATCACCACAAACACATGAGTAATGCTTATGCATTGTGCTATATTAAGGTGGCCGTGATGTCACCAGGTGAGAAGAATTTTTCAGCTCCATTATAATCTCCTGGGACGACCATCATTGACAAAACGCGTAGCGCGTGACTACTTGTAAGATCGTTTGCTTGCTATCTACCTCCCTCAGATTGTAATAATTACACAAATTATCTCCCTAGCGCCTAATACAGTGCCAGGTGCTCAAAAGACACGTCCTAAGTGGATTGGTGAATGAGCGAGCTTATGTATCAGGGGCTAAATTTCTCTTCCTAACATAACATGAATGTTCATCTTTACTGTAGACAGAGCTGCATCTCTGCAGATTATTTTTTAATGGAGCGGGACTCAGATCGAGACATTGCAGCCTGGGCTCCGTGCGGGGCACGTGCTGATTCCCTGTATGGGGCTCAGGCCAAGCAGAGAGGCACCCCGTAGGGACCCCTATACACGGTTTCACATTTGGGGGACTATTGTTTGGTTTTAACTTTTCTTTTTCTTTCTGCAAGTCCTTTCTGTTCCCCCAAGCCCTCTGCGGAACTTTGCTGACCCTTACAGCTTGGTCACAGCGTGCAGGGAGGACTCAGGAGGGGTCTAGGCCTCCACTTGGGGCAAAGCTGTAAGGAGAACTTGCAGCAGAGGGAGTGGCAGTCGGGAACAAAATGGCCGGCTGAGGGGACAAGAGCCAGCAGGGAGAGATTTTTAGAAATGATAATATTCATCTGGAATGTGCAAGCATGTTTTGGGAAGAAAAACTAGACAATGCCTGGACTTTCTGAGGTTACATAGTGTGCTGGTTACCAACTCACTGCCTGTCAGCTCCAATTTACCCTTTTTGCCCCCGCTAAGAATGGATCTGGGCCTTTCGTATAATTTTCTTCGCCAGCTGGCTGTTGTTAAGCGGTATCAGTAGAGGCTGTGGGGAAAACGCTGCAGGACAGAGTTCTGCGGGCTGTTGCCATGCTCTGACTTGGCTGGTTTCTGCCTTTCGGGCGGCTTCTCCAGCACCAGGATCCTACAGTGCAGCGCAGCCAGCAGCACCCAGTGGCCACGGGCTTCGCCCCAAACCTCCCTCTTACGGTGGTTTTGTGGTGAAGTGTTTCCTGAGACACCTCCCTGTGAACAGCTCTCCCCACACACTGTAGGGTAGATTATCAGCAAATTTCCAGAGAGTGGAGTTCCAGCAAGTTCCACCAGAAGGACAGTACAATGAATTTTCTACCATTGATCGAGCCACGGACATGCCCTCCCCAGCAGGGTGTGGGGCTCAGCCTGGGGGTGGGGGAGGCTCCTCCCTGGGCACTCTGTCTCAGCGCTAGGGCTAGTGGCTGCTTAAGACATCCCTACATTTGGGATTCCTGTTTTCTTCTGAGTTCTTGTTACTTCTTACTAGGCGATCCCTGGTTGCTCCAAATCCCATCATAGTGAACAATTCTTCATATTAAACTTTCACTGTTCAATTGTGGCGTGGTTTCTCTCTCCTGATTGGGCCCACACTGGTACACATGAGATGGGGCTCAGACACTGATTGCTTGGCTGTCGGGGGAAAGTGTCGCTAGAAGACGGAGGAATTAGAGACATTTGGGTCCTATGTATTTTTCCAAGTTTGTGCAATGAACGTATTACTTGTATAATCAGAAAGAAAATAAACATTTTAGAACAGTGTGAAAAAATGCAAGACGAGAAGCAAGGGGGGAAAACATGATAAAGCCCCAGTGTAGTATGTCTGTGGCAGAAGTAAGGAACATGCTAAGGGGAAAGCTCCTTAGGGGAGATGATGCTGAGTATTGAAGGGTGGGCGGGGTGGCAGGCACTTTCCCAGGCAGAGCCACCGTGTACTATGACTGGGGAGAGCTCACGTAGCAGGAAGGGGTCAGTCACCGGCTCAGCGTGCACAGAACCGGAAGCTGTGGAAGGTGAGAGCCAGGTCTGATCACAGCAAAACCTTGGGGGCTTCATTTAAAAACTGCAGGGGTGAGAAAGTTGATTCAACTCGTCTTTTAACCAGGGGCAGCTGCGAAACATCTTCCTTGCAGCTGTCCAACCATCTCCCCCTGTCTGGGAGCTTGACTGACCAAGGGCCCTGGAATGCACCTAAGGGTTTGTTCCCAAGGCCACACTTGCCACCTGGTTGCTCCCAGCCAGTAACTGGTAGAGACCTGGACGCTGGGGCATGTGGGTTCCAAGGAGAAGTGGGAACCCTAGGACGGGGTGGGGGTGGGGGGCTTTGGGTGCAGCACTCCCCGGCGATCTTCCTCAGACTGCTGGGTGGTAGGCTGATTGCTTCCCCAGCCCCCTCGCCGAGGGCAGATGTGCAGAGAGCCTGGCTCTCTCCGCTGCCCTCCCATTCAGTTCCACAGCCGTCTCCCCGAAGAAAAGCTTCCACCTCTAGTCCTGTCTTGGCGTCTGCTTCCTGGGGGAGCCACGCTGTTACCCACAGGACCACATCTGCCTTCGCTTGCCTCTCTTCTCCAGGGAGAGCCTTTGTGAGGGCAGCGATGCCGGGAACGCAGCGCTCAGCCCCGCTCCTCCTGGGCGGCCTCCCCTTCCCCCCGCCCGCGCCCCCGGGATCACTCAGGTTTCTCTCATAAACCCGCAGCTTCTCCACCTGGAAAGGTCCAAACTCTCCCGGACTCCGTCTCCACTCAAGGGCCACCTCGATCTCCCCGCTCTGCCTCTCCTGCCTGCCCGAGACTGCAGACCCGCCCGCTCTGGTCCTCGGTGGGCCCCGAGGAGCCGTCTGCCCTGTAAGCTCCGTGGGGCAAGGAATCGGATGTGGTTCGCTGGTGGCGTCCACGGCGGCGGCCGGAGCGCCCGGCTCAGGGTGGGCGCCCACGCCGTGCTCGCTGAGTTCTCGGTCTCGGTGACAAGGGATGTCCCAAAGAAAGAGCTCTAGAAGAATAAAGTCCAATGGCCTAGTATACTCGATGACAAGGAATGGGAGGGGCACAGCTGTGTCCAGAAGGATGCCGTTATGTCTTAGATTGGAACTGTGTCTTGCAATTATTACTTCCTGCTCATTTCTCTAAGATAATAGCACCAGATAAAAATCTTAGATACCTTATCAGGGTGTCCTCAGGTGTTGGGAGGTGAGAAGATTTTGCTTATCCAGTGAACAAAGTTGTAGGAAGACAGCATAGCATATGGACTTTGGAGTCAAACAGACCTCTATGTAAAACTCAGCTATATCACTTATTGGATGTGAAACCATGGACTGGTTAAACTGAGCCTCAACTTCCTCATTTATAACAAGGCAATAATAATGTCTGTCTCACAGGTTATTGTGAAGATTTAAGTATCATACCCTGTTTAGCATACCTAATTGCCTGGCACAGAGTTGATGCCCAGTAAATGTAAGCTTACCGATGGTGCACTCCTTGAAATGTCTTTTCCTCTGCAGGTCGTCAGCTTGTTCTGGAAACTCTTTATGCTTTGACATCAAGTACAAAAATAATCAAAGAAGCAATGGCAAAAGGTAATGTATGGAGTACTTTCTCATCTAGTCATGCTCAATAATGATGAGGTTTATTTGAGCTGCTTCGTATAATCTGTAAACTAGAAAAATTCTTTGGAAGGCTTCCAGTTTTAAATGCCAAGTTTCTGGGAAAGCCGACACGTTGTGTCCCAAACGGATCATATTTACCAAAAACAGTTTAGGAAGAAAAGAGTCCATTCTTCCCACCTCTGACTGCCGGCAGCCGCCGCCAAGGTATGGGGAGTAAGATTGCACCGGGCAGTTTATCTTTAAGAAACGGGTGAAACTTAATATCGATGAGCTTTCAAGCCTCTTCGTACTTTTTAAAATAGCAAAATAGGGTAACTTTACTTAATTGAGGGGGGGGGGGCGGAAGGCTGCTTTGTCCTCAAGATAATTCCATTTTTTTGCGGAGGTGTTTCCTGCATCTCCTCTGCGGCGGTCTCGGTGACCCTGGTAATCTAGGCAGCCTGGGCTCGTGGTGGGAACTTTACTCACCATGTGGCGAACGTCTCGGGGTTTTCTTCTCATGGTTATTCAGCCGTTCCCCTCCTGTTCCTCAAATGCTGCCGACATAATTTGAACGGATAGCACCTGGCTCTCACCAAGTCCCTCTCCAATAGATTTAAGCTGGAGTGTCCCTAAGTGTGTTAAATGGCTTCCAAGTTTCTTACAGGTGCAGACCATATGCTGTAAGTATTTCGGGCCTAGGCTCTGAATAACAAGTGTTAATTATTGGGCTTATAATTTGAGCATAACTAATAAAACTTGTGTATATACACCCTTAAAGATATTTCTTGATGTTCAAGGTTTTTACGTTTTAAAAATGCAGTCTCGAGGTTGGTGCAGGTCTAGAAGCAAACTTCTTTGCCACTGGATTTTACCTGCTCGGTTTATAGGATAAAACATGTTGCTTTAGGGTATCAGAGACTGTTGTGATTAGCAAATGTAAAAAATATGGTAAGGTGCAATTGAAGAGTTTATTGTTTACAAAAGAAGCCCCTGATCTCTGAATCAGGTTTCAGCACCCTAACATGCCATATGAGATGCTTCCTAATCGGGTCCCTGCCTGCCTTCTCAGTCATTTCCTGATTGTTCCTCGGGTCCCCCCCCGCCCCTCACACACACATGCACGTGCACTGCCAGACCCATCCAACTGCTTCCAAGCTGTCATTTCCAGACCAGTATCTGGAATGAGTGAACATTCTGCTTCTGCCATTCTTACTCCACTTGCCCATCTGTTGATTACCCACACATCCTTCATGTGTCAGTCAAATATCTTCTCTAGGAGGCTTTCTTTCCCCCATTATCCCTAGGCTCCTAAGCCCTTCCCTAGCAGTTCCTCTACTAGAAGACGACTTTTTTTTTTTCATTTTTACACCTTTGGCCATGCCACCGTGTAGTTGTGCAAGTTGTTCACGGAAGAAGGTCATCCTGTCCAATGGGCAAGTGGAGGCTGAAACCCAGTTCGCACTTCACTCGCCAGACCCCTCCTGGTGCACTTCCTCTCCCCTGGAAGGGGATACCTTTTGTAATTCACCCAAAGGTACAGTGTGGGCTAGGGGTGACCCTGTTTTAGCCTCTTCCCACTACTGTATTCAGCACCCTTCACAGAGACCAATGGAGAGATTCTCATTAAGGTTCCTTGAATGAGTGAGAAAAGAAAGGACCATTTCTACAGAACTCTAGAAAGAAACAAGTGTTTGGAGGCAGAGTTCTCATCTAAGTCAGTATACAGGAATGTGCTTCAGTTTGCTCTACTGTCTGGCGGTTCAGGTGATTATTAGACGTCATCTTGATTACAGGGAAGAATTGGCATGTGAATTCATGGGTGAGCATCGGAGATGTGTGCCAACAGGTGGTGGGCCTCTTCACCTGACTACCTTTCAAGGTACTCAGGTTTACACATCTAATCATGGTTTGCTGGGAGAGTTAAGGGTACAAGAATCTTGAAAGTAAGGCCACAAAGAGCTTTGCTAACATTAATTTGTGCTAATGAATTGAATTGAAATGCCATTTTCATATACAAAAACTGAATACATCCTAAATTGACAGTTCACAGAATTAAAGGAAGAAAGGAAGGGTTGGGTCTGATTTATTTAGATCCTCCAATCAGCATTTAAGATCACAATTTAATGGAAAAAATGCATTTTCCATGTTGGGGCAATTTGCAAGCTCATTTGGCTGCAAGATTCTTTCAAATGCCCCAAATTTGTATGAAATTAAACACTTCTAACAATTTGTTGGGCAATCTGGAGATATCTTTTTAAGCTACAATCAATAGATGGGTCATCTCACAAAAATTTATAAAATTGTGATATAAAATCACATCCTTGTCAAAGAATCTGCCAGTTATATGAAATCTTCGAATCTCTAGAATTTATAGCGTCAACTAGCTTTAACGACAACGTCAATTTTCCTATTTTATGAAAAAGGAAACAGTACCAGAGGCTTGTCCAGGGTCACAGAAGTTATGTAGGGGTGTGGCCAGAATGAGCTCTCAGGTTTTCTAGCTCTTAATTCATGGCCCTGTTTGTTTAAAGACCTATAAGAACAGCCTCTGTATCTTCCATCCTTGGCTTCAGTTGGGAAATCTTGAAATAGACTATAACACCTGGGGGGGAGGGAAGATTTCCCAGCACCAAACACAATGCCCTGTGCGGAGCAGGCTGGTGATAAATATTTGCTGAATCCAGGAATGACTGGACGAGCCAGTTGATAGCTTACTTATTTAAAGTAATTATTCGATATAGCACAAATCAAAGTCCTTCGGAGTCCATTAAAGTGGAATTTGGCGCATGTGTTTGTATTCCTTCAATGCAATAAAAAGCATCGGACGAACTTTACAGAAGACATGGGTAGAGATCGTTTTCTCTAAAAGAAGCCAGACCTCCTAAGAGAAGGGCATCATATAAGAGCTCAGGATTGGGGATCAGCGGGCTTGCCCCAAAGCTGGCCTCGATTCTGCAAATCTTAAACGTT